GATTCGGGTTAAGTAAATGAAAAAAGAGAGAAAATTTGTTGATATTTACTCCAATTGTAGAACGCCAGTTATCTTTGAACTTACAATTTGGTGTTTGCTGTCTGTGTTTTCCCAGCATACATTATGGTTCTAATATTTGATCACGTTTTTCCAGGGCGATGTCCTTTACATGTTTTATGAAGCGAAAAATTCAATTACGGAGCAAGGAGATATTGGAGTAGCACAGAGTATAGACAACGGCGCCACATGGAAGCAGTTGGGCATAGCACTCGATGAGGATTGGCATCTGTCCTATCCATTTGTCTTTGACTACAATGGAAATGTAAGACACTGACTTTTGCGAAAAAAAAAAGAGTGGATTTCAACCTCATAAGTCTTATCGAATATCTCAACTTGGACTGGAGAGATTTTATATTTATTTTTATTTTTTTACGCTATTTTTTTTTTTTTTACTTCAGATATATATGATGCCCGAGGGCAGTGAAAAAGGTGACCTCCGCCTCTATCGCGCGATTGACTTCCCTTCGAAATGGACGCTTGACCGGATTATTCTAAAAAAGCCCCTTATCGACTCCGTTATATTTCATCACGAGGGTCTGTTCTATCTTTTCGGCTGGCATCACAAAGGAATTGTCTCTACAAAAAACGGACACCTCGAGATATGGCACAGCACCACACCCCTCGGCCCCTGGAAACCTCATAATCAAAACCCTGTACACAACACTGACAAGTCAATGGGGACCCGCAATGGGGGCCGGCCTTTTGTGTATAACGGGAATAATTATCGTGTAGGTCAAGACCGTGGCAACACCTATGGGGAAAGGACACGTGTCTTTAAGGTAGAGATACTAACCCCCAACGATTATAAAGAAGTCGAGGTGGAACTACGTTTAGAAAAGCCGAGTAAGGGAATAAACGCTTGGAACGGGGCCCGCCGCCATCACATGGACGTGCAGAAACTGAGCTCCGGACAATGGATTGCCGTTGTGGACGGTGACCGGGTACGCTCGGGAGATTCGTCTCGTAGATTTGTTCTCGGGTGTGTTTCGGTTATTTTCGTTGCCACATTAGTAACACTCGGTGGGATTCTCATTGGGGCCGTAAAATGCACAATACCGTTGAGTTACAACAACATGGAGAAAAGAAAAAGAGCAAATTGTTGGTCTAAGTTGAGGCTCGTTTGTAGCCGTTTGAACCGAGCAAGCGCATTCTTGTATGCTAGAATTCGAGTGGGAACTTGTGTGGGCACAATGGTGGTAGGCATAATTATTGTAACGGTTGTGATAGTGACGTGCTATGGGGTGGAGTATTTATACGGTGGGAGTGGTGCGCATGAGCCATACTTTCTAAGCGGCCACTACTCACAGTTCACCCTTTTAACTATGACTTACGACGCTCGTCTATGGAACTTAAAGATGTACGTGAAGCACTACTCGAGGTGCTCGTCTGTGAGGGAGATTGTGGTGGTGTGGAACAGAGGATCTCCGCCCAACGCGAGCGATTTCGACTCGGCGGTTCCGGTGAGGGTGAGAGTAGAGGATCAGAACTCGCTCAACAACC